CAGAAATGATAACAATCAGATGGAGGCAATGGGAAATAGCAAAACAATCTAAATACAGGCAATCTAAATAAAAACTGTTTTAAGATAATTTATGAAAACTATTTTAATAAATATTAAGAGGTGCCAAACATCCACCAAATTGAAGCAAGATTAGAGAGATGGGCCAAAACTAACATAATAAAGTTCAACAGGGACAAATGCAAGATACTCCACTTAGGCAGAAAAAACTAAATGCAAAGATACAGAATGGGGGACGCTTGAGAGCAGTACGTGAAAAAGATCTTGGAGTCCTCGTAGACAACAAGTTAAACATGAGCCAACAATGTGATGTGGTGGCAAAAAAAGCCAATGGGATTTTGGCCTGCATCAATAGGAGCATAGTGTCTAGATCTAGGGAAGTCATGCTACCCCTCTATTTGCTTTGGTTAGACCACACCTGGAATATTGTGTCCAATTCTGGGCACCACAATTCAAGAGAGATATTGACAAGCTGGAATGTGTCCAGAGGAGGGCGACTAAAATGATCAAGGGTCTGGAGAACAAGCCCTATGAGGAGCGGCTTAAGGAGCTGGGCATGTTTAGCCTGAAGAAGAGAAGGCTGAGAGGAGATATGATAGCCATGTATAAATATGTGAGAGGAAGCCACAGGGAGGAGGGAGCAAGCTTGTTTTCCGCTTCCCTGGAGACTAGGACGCGGAACAATGGCTTCAAACTACAAGAGAGGAGATTCCATCTGAACATGAGGAAGAACTTCCTGACTGTGAGAGCCGTTCAGCAGTGGAACTCTCTGCCCCGGAGTGTGGTGGAGGCTCCTACTTTGGAAGCTTTTAAACAGAGGCTGGATGGCCATCTGTCAGGGGTGATTTGAATGCAATATTCCTGCTTCTTGGCAGGGGGTTGGACTGGATGGCCCATGAGGTCTCTTCCAACTCTTTGATTCTATGATTCTAAGTGTTACTGAGCAGAAAATGACCTTCCATTTTTAATTTACACTTCTGCAAGTAAAGGGACTAGAAGCTCTCAGGGTATTAAAGATTTCGACACTTCCAAGGGGCTTCTGACATTATTTTCCTATCCCCTTTCTCACAGTAATAGCTTTTCTGGTCCTGTTTAACCAGAAAAGGAAAGTCCCTGATCATCATATTTTCTCATTGTCATTATTATTCTCCCCTACCCAACAATCCTGCACAAGGTTTTCAAGTCTCTACAAAACTAAGACTTGAACAGTTAAACCACTGGAAGCTGAAGCCAATTATTGCTTAACCTCATTAGCATTTTCAAGATGAAACATGTATATAGTATGAGGTTATTTTTTTGAAAATGGGTGTGATGTTGTCTTAAGCCACTTTCTTAGGGGAAAACCTATCTGGACTGAGTCCAAGATGGTGTTTCAGATAATACATCTCATAGTATTTTCAGTCACGTTCCCCATTCTTCTGACTTGTCAAGTCCCAGTTGCTGCAAGCAATGTGCGAAGAGGTGTTAACTCCTGGGATTAATCCAAATCAAAACTCATTGCAAGAGCTAAATGTCTCTCTCACCGGAGAAGTATATTTTTTTTTCCTGGCAGAAAGAATTAAATCCCCCCTGTCTTTAATACTCCAAAAACTATAAATTCTTCTTCCTGATTATATTCTGATTATATGCTGATTATAGTTTTGGCAAAGTGTTTATTAAATGTCCATTTGCTACAGAATCTGGAGAAACTATTTTTGAGGATTGCTGGCCATGGTGGCAAAGGGAATGTAGCAATTGTAGTTCAAACTTTTCCTAGTTTGACCCTGCTTCTTTCAGACTTTTGTGGCAAATAAATATAATGATATGGAGACAAGAAGAGCACCAAAGAACTGATCTATCTTAAATTTAAAATACTAATTTAAAATCCCTCTGTGTTACTTCTTGATATATGCATTTAAAAATTAGATTAGACTTCAGTTGCTGTGGGTTTTTCAGGCTGTATTGCCATGTTACAGAAGCATTCACTCCTGACATTTCACCCACATCGATGGCAGGCATCCTTGGAGATTGTGAAGTATGGAAGAGATTGGATTTCTTCCATATTTTTTCATTGTACATCCAAAGAATGACAGTCTCAGTTTAGTCATTTTGGCTTGAAGGGAGAGTTCAGATTTCATTTGCCCTTGAACTCATTTATTTGTCTGTTTTGGCAGTCCACCATATCTCCAGGGATTTCCTATAGCACGTTTTAAATGAGATGATTTCCTTCCTATCAGCTTTCTACACCATCTAGCTTTTAAAACAACAGATAGAAATGGGAAATGCAATGGCATGGATAAGCCTGCCTTTGGTATTTAAGGATATAGCTTGACACTTGGAGATCTTGTTTAGTTCCTTCATAGCTACCCTTCCATGTCCTACCACTTCAACACATTTACTAAATTCCACTGAATCCTACACTTAAAATATGGTAAGCCACATTAGGTTGGGTTCAAGTGTAGGCTAGAGCATTCTTGGCATATTTTGAGCATGGGAGGCAGCATTCTTTACAAACGTTTCAGGAGGTAGTGGGGAAGTGGATTTTTGGTAATGATCCAGATGTCTGGCCAATTCTGTAATGTGATGGCCTTTGTTGCTCTCAGGTTTAAAATGAAACGTTTCCTCAATTTGTGGAAGGGGAAATTGTGGGAGGAGCCAAAAATACCCTTGTTAAGGAAAGTTCCACCATTACCTTTTGCTCTCCGAGTTTTAACTTTGCCAGAACAATTTCTTTTTTTAAAAAAAATAGCCTTTCCAGGTCTTTTCCTTTTCTTTCCTTCCCTTCCCTCCTGGTCTAGTCCTGGGAGTTATGGTTTCCCAAGGTCCACACCCTTTTCCAACTAAGAACATGGGAAAGGGATGGTTGGCAGGGCCAAATCTTTACAGTGTGATGGCAAATAAACTCAAAGAATGCTGAGCATAACTGAGTAACACTGATTGATTTAACAGTGTGATGAAAGTAGGGAAGTAATTCAATTCTTTTCAAAAGAGCTCTGCCAAACACTTCCCTTCTTCAATGTGATGAAGTCCCTAGTCTAAGTCTTCTGAGTTCTTGACTGTAATCTCCATTCCAATTAATGCCAGAGTCAAGATGTGGACAATCATTAACTATTTCACCATCAATGTTCCATGAACCAGTGTCAATGGAAAAGTTAATATCTAGCCATCCATAAAAAGGCAATCCACTGTGATGAGTAAACTTTGGAGGTAAGTTATATCAACCTCATACATTTCAAAATGATGGCCACTTATTTTGTACAGAGCTGGGCAAGAATATCCTTTTGAGATCAATCTGCCCTTCCCAAACTGTTTACCGAGCAATAGAGAAAAGTAACAGTCCTTGATGTGTCACGTTGGATCATACCTCAACAAAGAGGGTGAGATAATATTGTTTGTCACATTTGAGTTTAGTTTAGGGAATTCAGGATTGTGTGTGTGGCTGCTATTCCTCCTAAATTCCCCAACTGTTCAAAACCAGTGTGAATTGTATTGTCGAAGGCTTTCATGGTCAAAATCACTGGGTTGTTCTAGATTTTTTGGGGCTATATGGCCATGTCCTAGAAGCGTTCTCTCCTGATGTTTCACCTGCATCTATGGCAAGCATCCTCAGAAGTTGTGATGTGAGGATGCTTGCTATAGATGCAGGTGAAACGTCAGGAGAGAATGCTTCCATATAGCCCGAAAAATCTGCAACAACCCAGCGTGAATTACAATTCTGATTTTATAGCCTTCCCAACACACTCAGATCAGAAACAAGGAGGCAGACTGCTATGAAAGTGATTGTGTGAATGCAACTACTTTAGAAGACAACACATTACAGGGGATCCTACCTATATGATCCAGACAGAACGTATCTCCAGTCCGAGATGATGAATTTCTCTTGGATTTGTCCTGAGAATTTTCGACCCGATTTGGCACAGTAGACTTCACCAGTAACACTTCGCACAGAAATGTTCTGGTAAGTGATGAAAAAAAATTACAACCTGTCAGTCATTGTCTTCAGTCATGGCTTACCTCACATAGGTGTTATTAGTCAGCAATGTGACTCAGCTATGAACCTCGTAAAACATAGCAGCTATCTGCATCCACAAATTCAGCCATACACAGCTTGAAAATCCCCCTCTCCACTGAGAACCACCGAAAAGAAAATCTTAAATTCACCATTTTATATAAAGTTTATAATTTTACCACCCCATTGTATATTTATTTATTTACTATTTACTATTCTTATATACCGCTGTATCTCAAGCCCGAGGGCGACTCACAGCGGTATATAATGGGACTTCACCATCTATAGATTTTGGTGTCTACAGAGGGGTCTTGGAACCAAACCCCATGGATATCAAGAGCCTACTGTATCTGTTTCAAAATGAGTTGAGTTTTTACAGACTTCTCAATAATGTTTTTACATGATAAACACTGGTAATATGGAACCATTTGTCAGGTTCCTGGGTGAAAACAGAAAAATGCATCTACTATGGCTGAATTGCATGAGTTGTCCTACATCCATCAGAGTCTCACTTCTTCGGGTCTTCTCAACGCCATTCACACTATATTGGTCAATGCCAGCTTACATAAAGAGAAGGTAATTAACACTCCTTGATTTATTTTCTAATTTAGGCTATGCAAATTTAGACTTATAAAGATCTGGCATGGCATTATCACATAATGTAAAAATGTTCTGTGCCAATAGCAGTGATTGGACTTATGCAATCCTCCCAATGTTTTCAAATTGCAACACCCAGCAGTCTTAGCCAGCACAGTCAATGGTAGGCCATGCTAGGAGCTAAAGTTCAATGTTAGATGGTGGGCCATATAATTGAAGTATCTGATCTCTAGGAAATGACCTTAGGAAAGCCCTCTCTTTGGACTACAAGCCGGAGAATCCCATATCCATCAGGACTTATGCCAACAGTAGTAGTGTTAAGAAGTATCACAGAATCATAGCATTGGAAGGTGTTCCCTCAGTCATTGAATCCAACCTCTCATGCAATGCAGGATCTCCAGCCAAAGTTGTCCAGAGGATAATGTGGTTGTGCCGCAGGTTAAACCATTGAGCTGCTGAACTTGCTGACTGAAAGGTTGGCGGTTCGAATCTGCGGAGCAAGATGAGTAAAAAGCTCCAAGACATTAACAGGGGTTTCCCCATACCTTAAAATGTCCCTCTTCGACATGCAGCTTGTCACACATCTCAGTGAAGAGCTTTAGGTTGCTATGGTCAAGCAGGAGGTAGACAAAGACTTGTCGCTTGTTGGCTGCTTCCAAGATATCGCAGAATATCTCAGCATCTGTGAACACATCCATGAGGATGGCTAATACCTGGAAAGAGGGATATAAAGAGACAAGGCAGTGAGACTAAGCAGAAAGCAATCACAAGGATCTGAAAACATCATCTCTGTTGAATATATGAACAGTGGACTTGGCTATACTCCAGGACCTGCAAGTATTTGGAAAAGTTTACATTTCTTAACTCTGGTTACATATATACTGTCAAAATGATTTACTTTGACATCACTAATTGCCATGGCACAACATTACCAAATACTGGGATTTGTAGTTCAGTGAGGCATCAGCATTCCTTGACAAAGAAGACTCGAGATCTCATAATACTGTACTACAATTCCAATGATGCCATTATATTGAGCCATGGTAGTTTAAAGATGTCAATCTGCATTAATTCAGCAGTGTAGATGCACCTGCAGTCATTTTTGCCTGTAAGGTAGCTTAACATTATAGATTTTAGTAGCAGACAACTGTTGATTGTGATATTTATAATAATAATGGCAATATTTGCTTGTTGCTATATACAATATTTGTTGTTGTTCATTCGTTCAGTCGTCTCCGACTCTTCGTGACCTCATGGACCAGCCTACACCAGAGCTCCCTGTCGGCCGTTACCACCCCCAGCTCCCTCAAGGTCAGTCCAGTCACTTCAAGGATGCCATCCATCCATCTTGCCCTTGGTCGGCCCCTCTTCCTTTTGCCTTCCACTTTCCCCAGCATAATTGTCTTCTCTAGGCTTTCCTGTCTCCTCATGATGTGGCCAAAGTACAATATTTACCTCTATGTATTTATACTCTAAAGAATGTAGTGCCAAAGCACAGCCATTGGCAGGTAGTAGAAGGTAAAGGTTTCCCCTGACGTTAAGTCTAGTTGTATCTGACTTTGGGGTTGGTGCTCATCTCCATTTCCAAGCCAAAGAGCCAGCGTTGCCCATAGACAACTCCAAGGTCATGTGGCTGGCATGACTGCAAGGAGTGCCGTTACCTTCCATCAGAGCAGTACCTATTGATCTACTCACATTTGCATGTTTTTGAACTGCTAGGATGGCAGAAGCTGGACCTAACAGTGGAAGCTCACCATATGTCCCATATTCAAACCACCAACCTTTCAGTCATCAAGTTCAGCAGCTCAGTGGTTTACCGCGCTGTGCCACCAGCAGGGCCCCCATGGTAATACTTATTAAATCAGGGTATGGAGAAAACATAACATTTATGAAAATTTCAGGTCTGAGTGAAAATTTGGAAGCAATACCCTAAGCTTCATGGTTTTCAATGAAGGATTTGATGACTGTAACTACTGTATTAGACCAAGGTCAATTTGAGTTAGATTCTAGCTATGGAGTGTTTTAGCAGTGAGTGCAAAATTACTGCATGCTTTATTGACTTCTCTTGTGGGTTGTGACCAAATTATTAAAAAAAAACAACAACAAATGCCAAGGCAGGTGGCAAAGAACCCATCAGATTGTAACATGTTGTTTGTTAGACAGGTTTTAAAAGACTTATAAATGAGTGTGTTGGTGCGTGCTTTGCTAATGACAGCCAAGCCTCAGAGAAAGGGAGAGACAAACAAACAAACAAAACCTCTTAATTAATGTTGTCACGGAAACTCCATGATAGGATTGCATAAATCAGAAACGACTTGAAAGCACACAGCAATAACATAGTTACCAAAAGTTAGTTTTGCATTTACTGTTTTTAACTTGAAGGAGAGGAATAACCCTATTTTAGGAGTGAGTGAGCAACTGGGACAGATCATGGGGATTATTTTTTCACCCACTATCCTCTATGGCAGTGTCTCTCAACCTTCCTAATGCTGTGACCCCTTAATACAGTTCCTCATGTTGTGGTGACCCCCAACCATAAAATTATTTTGTTTGCTACTTCATAACTGTAATTTCGCTAATGTTATGTATCGTAATATAAATATCTGATATGCAGGTTGTATTTTCATTCACTGCACTGCACCAAATACATGGGTTGGGGTGGGGGGATTGATTTTGTAATTTGGGAGTTGTAGTTGCTGAGATTTATAGTTAACCTACAATCAAAGAGCATTCTGAACTCCACCAATGATGGAATTGAACCAAACTTGGCACACAGAACTCCCATGACCAACAGAAAATACTGGAAGGGTTTGGTGGGCATTGACCTTGAGTTTTGGAGTTGTAGTTCACCCATCCAGAGAACACTGTGGACTCAAACAATGATAGATCTGGGCCAAACTTGGCACAAATACTCAATATGCCCAAATGTGAACACTGGTAGATTTTGGAGAAAGTAGTTGTGGTTACTGGGATTTATAGTTCACCTACAATCAAAGAGTATTCTGAACTCCACCAATGATGGAATTGGACCAATGTTCCCACACAGAACCCCCATGACCAATAGAAAATACTGTGTTTTCTGATGGTCTTTGGTGACCCCTCTGACACCCCCTTGTGACCCCTAGGTTAAGATATACTGCTCGGTAAACTGCACTGGGTGCCGAAAAGGCCAAGAAAAACACTTGGCAACTAAAGCAAACCAGAATGGTGTAAATAGGTTTCAGCCTCTCTTCTGCATCATAATGTTTAGTATTTGGAAAAATACATAAAAGTGGATGTACTAGTGTACATCCACTTTTATGTATTTTTCCAAATATTAAACATTATGATGGAGCAGAGAGCCTGAAACCTATTTACAATGTGAATTTCAGTTCCTTAAAGGCAGATTCCTGGAAGCCAGTTTCCTCAGCCCTTTTAATGGCCAGGTGATGGTTCGTCTGATCTTGGAAGCTAATAAAGAGTTTATATGGGGATGGGAGGCCACCAACGAATACTAGGTGCTGCAGGCTATCTTTCAAAGGAAGGAACGGGCAAAACCACCCCTGAGAAATTCTTGCTGAGGAAAATTCATGAGCTCGTCATAAGCCAACAGGCAACATGAAAGCATATACACATAGAACAAACATCAAAGCATATACACAAATAGGAATTTGGAGCCACTCAAGACTGAAAAAGTAATCTTCTAGTGCTGCGCTTTGCCCACCCCATTATAAATCTAGAAGCAAAATATCTGAAGTACAAGGAAATCTAGGTAAGATGAGACAACAACATCCTTTCTCCAAGTGTTTCCCAGACTATGGTCTTCCAGATGTTTTACACTTCACCTTCCAGAATTCCTAACTGTTGGCCAAGCTTGGAGCTGAAGTCCAAGACAGCTGGATGACTAAAGTTTCAATGCTTTATTCCATGCCCTCTTTCCTACTTTTCCTCCCAAGTAACCAGACTAAGGGAGAAACCCATTGGCAGCTCCACTTGCTTCTTGCCCACCAGATCCACCATCTCCATACCTGGGAGGTCTTGTTGATGCAACGCCGTATCAAGTCCCTAATGTTACTGTTCTTGTCCGTTTGGAAGTACACAGTAGCACTTGACTTCTCCTTCAGATAGGGCTTTTCGGATGTGCTCCAAGTGTGAAGAAGGGCTGGTTCACTGTTCTCAGAGACAAGAGGAAAATACGTTCCTGATTGAAGGGACCTGGCATCATTATTCTGCCTGGACCCAACTTCTCCGTCGCTCGAATAGTAGGGTTCCTTTGCATTCCTCTTAATGTACTGAGCTTCCACAGTGGATAGGAAGTCCACCTCTCCCTCATCCTCCAAGGCCTTGAGGTAGGCTGGGAGACCACCATCTAAGAGGGCATCTGTAGCTAGCCGCACACTTTCGTTGTGACTGAAATCCAGTTTGGCCAATCGAAATGATAAGTTCTTGACTTCCTCCAACCGCTTCTGGATCTTTCCCATGTGTCTTGATCTGTTCATAGTTCTTCAAGGAGTCCTTACACAGTAGTAGAAGGAGATGTCTGAAGTGACTCTTGTTTAAGAAGGAAATATCCCAGTTTCAAGCTGCTTGGAGGTTGAGGCTCATATCAAACACCTGGTTAACTATTGTTGTGAAGTCTTTTTTTGTCAAGATGACGGATAGCAAAGGAAGACACACAGCCGTCCATACCTAATACTGACTGTTGTAACTAGTTTCCTTCAGAACTTGCTGTAAGGGTGTGCAGATGCACTTCACTCACGATTAGACTCCAGATGGCAGTCAAGTTTGAAGCTGATTTGTTTGCTTGACGGAAAGAAAGCTACACCTTCTCCTCAGGGCCCAGGAAAGGGGAGGACAAGATATACAGCTGCATTCAGCACTCTCCAGTTTGATTTTGTAATGCAATTTCCTTTTAATTTTCTTTTAATCTGGCTGGTAAACAAATAAAATGTAACTCAGGGCAGAAGCAAAGTATTGTCCAATTACTTAACTGTCAAGGCAGCTCAGGAATATAGTCAGAAACCTATGGAATTGATGGCATAGCATGTGAAATCCATATAAGTTTCTGTTCACTGATATGATCTATTGGCACGTCGAGTCAGCCCTGTCATTAGGAAGAGTGAAGAAACTGCCTCAAGTGACAGATGTGTGAAAGGAGCAATGGAAGACTTCCAGCTGTTCCTCCTGAGATTCAGAGCCATTATTTTTTCCTCGATGACAGAGTTGTGTGTGCACCATGCTCTATCCTGCACCCCCTAAATTACAGTAGTTTGCTGCCTTAAGATGTCATCATACCAACATAAAGTTGAAAGGGATCCCAAGGGCCATCCAGTCTAACTCCTTGCTATTCAGAAACACACAGCTCAAGGTCTGATGAAGGATACCATCCTATTGTGAGGACTGGAGTAATACCTGACTGTCACATCAGAAAAAGACCAGATAGCATCCTTGCTCCATTCCATGTCCAGGAAAAAAGCAAAATGTTCAGATAGCAGAATCTCTTGGGCTAGACCAGTGTTTCTCAACCTGGGGGTCGGGACCCCTGGGAGGGTTGCAAGGGGGTGTCAGAGGAATCGCTAAAGACCATCACAAAACATCACTCTTTTGACCATGGGGGTTCTGTGTGGGAAATTTGGCCCAATTCTATCATTGGTGGGGTTCAGAATGCTCTTTGATTGTAGGTGAACTATAAATCCCAGCAACTACAACTCCCAAATGTCAAGTCTATTTTCTCCAAACTCCACCAGTGTTTACATTTGGGCATATTGAGTATGCCAAGTTTGGTCCAAATCTATCATTGTTTGAGTCCACAGTGCTCTCTGGATGTAGGTGAACTACAACTCCAAAACTCAAGGTCAATGCTCACCAAACCCTTTCCAGTATTTTCTGTTGGTCATGGGAGTTCTGTGTGCCAAGTTTGGTTCAATCCAATCCAATGGTAGAGTCCAGAATGCTCTTTGATTGTAAGTTAACTATAAATCCCAGGAACTACAACTTCCAAATGAGGAGCTGTATTAAGGGGTTGCAGCATTAGGAAAGTTGAGAACCACTGGTTTAGACTAAAGTTTCCAAACCAATTTTACAAAATATAGGGTTCACTGATATCGACAATTTCAGGTATCCACAGGGAGTCTTGGAATGTATCAACTGTGGATACAGGGGTCATATGGTATATTTACTCTAATGAAAGGTATTTTAAAACACTCTGGAATCCAGGTAACACTTGGGGCTGCAGGTATGAGGACAAGGGGAAAAGATGTGTTACGTGGAAACTCTATTTGGATTAAGGCGAATATATGATAGATCTTTTTCTTTCTTTCTTGTTGTTATTAGCCAGGGTCACATTGTGATTGATGAGCCGCAGGACATTTTAAAAAACGATATACATGTTTGTTTTGATTGTTACAGCCTAATGTAAAGCATTGAGCAAAAACCTCCCAGCATTGAGAGATCCTTTCTTACTGTTTTGATTCATGCTTTAGCCTTTAAGATCTGTGTGGTTATTTGACATTAACAGACAGCTGTTTTGCACTCAACGTCGGCCTGCAGCGTTGAAAGGATCAGCAAAACAAGCAATTAAGCCAGCAACCTGCTTGGTGCAATTACCCGCAGGAGAGCCATGTGGAAGTATTAAAAGGACAGGTGAATAATGGCCTGTCAGCTTGAATCAGACCAAGTAAGATCTAACAATTGCTTTAAGGCAATTGGTATTGCTTTACTGTATTCTGCAAAAGCAAGAAAGTCAGCATGGTGCAGTAGTAGTATTTTGAGAGTTGCACGGTGCCTCTAGAGAACAGGCTTTGAATCTTTGCTCACTCTCCTTACGGTTGTCATAAATTGGAAATGATTTGAAGGCACACAACAGCAACACCAAAGACTGTATGGCCCTCAATAAATATTCATAAAATCATAGAGTTGGAAGAGTCCTCATGGGCCATCCAGTCCGACCCCCTGCCAAAAAGCAGGAAAATCGCATTCAAAGCATCCCCAACAGATGATCCTCCAGCCTCTGCTTAAAAGCTTCCAAAGAAGGAGCCTCTACCACACTCAGGGGCAGAGAGTTCCACTGCTGAACAGCTCTCACAGTCAGGAAGTTCTTCCTAATGTTCAAGTGGAATCTCCTTTCCTGTAGTCTGAAGCCATTATTCTGCATCCTAGTCTCCAGGGCAGCAGAAAACAAGCTCCCTCCCTCCTCCCTATGACTTCCTCTCACATATTTATAATAATAATAATAATAATAATAATAATATAATCTTTATTTATACCCCGCCACCATCTCCCCAAAGGGGACTCGCGGCGGCTAACATGAGGCCAGGCTCAAAAATAATACAGCAAAGTTAAACACAAAATAACAAAAAATTAAATCATAACAAAATACATGAAGTAACAAAATAAAATAAACAGTGCAAAACAACATAATAAAAATCAAACACAAAAAGGGCGGCACAAATGTGCAAGATAAAATGATAAAACGTTAAAACCCTGGGTGAGATAGGAATCATGTCTCCTCTCAGCCTTCTGTTCTGCAGGCTAAACATGCCCAGCTTTTTAAGCCGCTCCTCATAGGGCTTGTTCTCTAGATCCTTGATCATTTTAGTCGCCCTCTTCTGAACACATTCCAGCTTGTCAACATATCGCTTCAATTGCGGTGGCCAGAATTGGAGACAGCATTCCAGGTGTGGCCTTCCTCCTTTCTTCCTTTTTTCCTTCCTTCCACCCTGAGAATGGGGGGGGGGGGGGGGCTGAAACCCCTCAAGCCCCCCCCCCCCGCTACATGCCTAGTGGTAGTTAAAAAGCACATTCTAAGGATTATTTCTGAGTATGATTTATTTAAATACTAGTCGTCCCCTGCCACACTTTGCTGTGGCCCAGTCTGGTGATCTAGAAAATAAAGTTATGAGAAAGTGTTGGTTTCTAATATATGTAATTTCCCTATGCTTGTGGGTGAACAGTTCATTGGGTTCAGAATGCTCCCTGTTTGTAGGTGAACTGTAAATCCCAGTAACTATAACTCCCAAATGTCAAGGTTTATTTCCCCTAAACTCTATCTATGTTCATATTTGGGTATATTGAGTATATTTGCCAAGTTTGGTCCAGATCCATCATTGTTTGAGTCCACAGTGCTCTCTGGATGTAAGTGAACTACAACTCCAAACTCAAGGTCAATGCCCACCAAACCCTTTCAGTGTTTTCTATTGGTCATGGGAGTTCTGTGTGCCCAAGATTGGTTCAATTCCATAATTGGTGGAGTTCAGAATGCTCTTTGATTGTAGTGAACTATAAATCCCAGCAACTACAACTCCCAAATGACAAAATCAATTTTTTTGAGTGATGGTCACTCCTTGGGTTAGTAGGTGTCTTGTGGCCAAATTTGGCAGCAATTCGTCCAGTGGTTTTTGAGTTACATTACATTTTTATTTATATAGACTAGCCATCTCCTGTCATATGTTGCTGTGGCCTAGTCTGTGTATACATGTTGTGTGTGTGTAAATATGTGTATATGTGGTTTTGCATGTGTGGTAATGTTTTTTTATGTTTTTTGGCTTTTTAAGTCTCTTCTGCTTTGTTTTTCAGTGATGATGGTCACTGTTGGCCTGATAGGTGTCTGGTGTCCAAATTTGATGTCAATTCGTCCAGTGGTTTTTGAGTTCTGTTAATCCCACAAACGAATATTATATTTTTATTTATATAGACTAGCCATCTCCTGTCATGTGTTGCTGTGGCCCAGTCTGTGTATATGTGTTGTGTGTGTGTTGCATGGGTTGTGATGTATTTTTTTTGGCTTTTTAAGTCTCTTCCACTGTGTTTTTCAGTGTTTTTATGAGTGGTTGTCACTGGTTGGCCTGATAGGACACATTTGTCTTGTGTCCAAATGTGATGTCAATTCGTCCACTGGTTTTTGAGTTAGGTTAATCCCCCAAATGAACATTACATTTTTATTTATAGATCATAAGATTCCCATCCAAACCAAAGTAACGAAGGTGGAGGCATTACTTTTCATTCAACCCTTGTCCCTTCTGCCCAGTTAAACAGGAAAGAACCCTTTCCAAGCAGGAACAGAAACTTAAACTTAAAACTTTGCCTAATAATGCCACTAATACAAAAGGTTACTGGAAATGGCTGATCAGTCTAACAACAAAGTAACTATGTGCTTAACTTGCCACATTGATTTTGGCAACACAGCTTTGCTCTGCCTTAATCACAAAGTAACTGGTTAGATCTAGAGTAGTGACATAACACCATTCCTTTACTCTATTTGCTCTATTCTTAGTTCCAAGGCAGAACTGGGTTGGTTGGAAGGAGAGAGATCCAGGTAACATTATGAATCATTTCCTCTGCAAGGAGGAGGGAACCACCTGCAGCCTCCTTTTCTTTTCTCTACGAAGTTCAAAGCATGTAAACAGAATAGAGAAAAGAAGCCTCCCACTTTCCAAACTCTGCCGCTTGGTATGGAGGCTTGTTCAAGCGCTTCCTCCAGGAGCCTCGTTAGCGCAGTAGGCAGCGCGTCAGTCTCATAATCTGAAGGTCGTGAGTTCGAGCCTCACACGGGGCAACAGGACTTTTTTGGACCCCCAGTTTTTAAAAACACCATTCAAATTGATTGTAAATCCCTGGTAATATTTAGGGACAAAGCTGCTGCTGTTTTAGAGAACCTCGTGAAACAGGAAGTTGAAAATTCAGGCGGATGAGGACATGTTTGCATGGAAGAATGTATATAATATGGTGATTGCAATCAGATTGGAGTGATGCAGTTAGGCAAGAGTGTATCTACCCTGTAGGAACATAGTACACAACATATTATTTGAGAACACAGAAATGCTGGACCACTCTCACAACCACCATGTCAGACTACACAGAGAAGCCATTGAAATCCACAAGCATGTGGACAATTTCCACAGAAAGGAGGAAACCATGAAAATGAACAAAATCTGGCTACCAGTATTAAAA